TACTCTCTGCACTCCCTGTTTCTTAATTCTTGTGCTTTTTATCCCTCCTTGCTACATAAGGTTTTGCCTAAAAATGTATATCCCTTACTAGAAAGTAACCTCCTGGAGGAATCACATTTTATTCACCTCATGTCTCCATCAGCACTCAGTGCTGGGCTTTGACCATAGCTGACCTTTGAATAATAAAAATTATAAATCAAAACAGACTTCTGCTTTAGGCGAAAACAGACAACATTAAGCTCATGCAATTCCTACCTATAACTCATAATCCTAGAAACGGTGGAACAAACAGGGCTAGGGGATCACCAACTACCTCTGTAATCTTGAATAAATCAAGACTCACAAAGCCATACATTTTTAGGATCAGGAACTTAGTACCACAGTTAAGTCCCATCAGTTTTTCCTGGCACCCAGCGTTAGATAATCATTTACAGCCATAGCCACAACGCACCTGTATGCAAAACCCTCACATGATGATGATGTAGAGATCAGCTTTAAATGAACACTAAAATTACAAACCTATCATTTCCTCAGAGAAGTCTTCCCATTCTACATAAAAGAGTGGGATCTCTGCCTAAAGGCATACACAGAAACTGGTCATTTCAAGCTTGCCTAATAGGAGTTCTTATACTTTTAAAGAGCAGGAATAGAAATTCTGGCAGTCCTTATCTGTAAGTAATGATTAGGAATGGTCTACTCATGCTGCTCCTACTATTCCTTATGAAGTTCTAGCATAACAGTAAAACAATAAAAAAAATTTCTAAAATCAGGCCCAAAGAAAAAAGAAAAAAACACTTAGCTCAGGATGAATACAAAAACCAAAAAATGGGCTGAGATGTAATTATTTAGGTTAGAAACAGGGTCAAAGGTGCCTCTTTCAATAGCTAAGAATTAGATATAACAACAAGTAAATTAAATTGCCCAGCTTTACAGTACTGTCCAGTAGAACCTCCTTTGGTAATGGAAATATTCTGTATCTGTGCTGCCCAATATGGCAGCTACAAGCCACACGAGGCCATTGAGCACTTGAAATGTGGGTAGTATGACTGAGGAAATGAATTTTACATTTTATTTCAGGGTGATGAGTACACTAAAAGCCCAGATTTCACGACTATCCAATATATATGTGTAACAGAATTCAACTTGTACCTTCTAAATCTATTAAAATAAAAAAAAATATTTAATTTTAATTAATCTAAATTTAAATTGCCAAATGTGGCTAATAGCTACCAAATTGGTTAGCGCAGCTCCAGATTCTCTAAGTTAGCAATTTCCAACCAGAGGCTATTCCTCTCACCCCTTGGGACAGCTGCCTCCATTTGGAGACATTTTTAGTTGTCACACCGAGGGGAGGGGGATGCTACTAGCATCAAATGGGTGGAGGCGAGGTATGCTGCTAAGCATGCCACAATGCACAGGACAGCCCCCCCCCAGATAATGATCTGACCCCAAATGTCAGTAATGCTGAGGCTGAGAAATTCTGCTCTAGGTTTACACAAGGATGGAATTAAAGTAAATAAAAAACAAATTGTAGGCCGGGCGCGGTGGCTCACGCCTGTAATCCTAGCACTCTGGGAGGCCGAGGCGGGCGGTTTGCTCAAGGTCAGGAGTTCAAAACCAGCCTGAGCGAGCCCGTCTCTACCATAAAAATAGAAAGAAATTAATTGGCCAACTAAATATATAATATAAAAAAATCAGCCGGCATGGTGGCTTGTCCTGTAGTCCCAGCTACTCGGGAGGCTGAGGCAGGAGGATCACTTGATCCCAGGAGTTGAGGTTGCTGTGAGCTAGGCTGATGCCACGGCACTCACTCAGCCGTAGCAAGAAAGCGAGACTCTGTCTCAAAAAAAAAAAAAAAAAAAAACAAATTGTAGGCCGGGCGCTGTGGCTCACGCCTGTAATCCTAGCTCTTGGGAGGCCGAGGCGGGCGGATTGCTCAAGGTCAGGAGTTCAAAACCAGCCTGAGCAAGAGCGAGACCCCGTCTCTACTATAAAACAGAAAGAAATTAATTGGCCAACTGATATATATATATAAAAAATTAGCCGGGCATAGTGGCACATGCCTGTAGTCCCAGCTACTCGGGAGGCTGAGGCAGAAGGATCACTGGAGCCCAGGAGTTTGAGGTTGCTGTGAGCTAGGCTGACGCCACGGCACTCACTCTAGCCTGGACAACAAAGTGAGACTCTGTCTCAAAAAAAAAAAAAAAAAAAAAAAACAAATTGTAGTACACTTTGTCTAAACAAAATATCCAGGAAGAATGGGATTTTTCAAGCAACAGAGAAAGGTCTGGGCTGTTTTACAAATTTAAAGTAGCTTTTTACTGAAAAGTGTATATGTGTGTTGAATAACTTATTAAGATCTTCATCATCAAGAGTAATGACTTCCTGTGGCATTTTTCTTACTTGAATATTAACATAAGTAAACACTATGAAACCATGCTACCAGGCCTTGTTCCGTGTAAGCTGGACATACAGTACTAGGGGACTGAACCCACTACTCCTACTCTCCTAGTTTGAATTCGGTGCCCCCTCAATTAACCTGTATGATTCTTGAGGCATCACTAATTTCAGACACAAGAAAACCGATACTGTTGTGAAAGAAAAGCAAATCAAGACAAGAAAACGGCTCTGTCACCATAGGTCTACACGTTTACATTATTACCCAAAGAAAAAGCAAGGGTACAGAATTATATTTGGACCAAAGGAAATGCACTCAGTGATTCTACTAAATGATACCACATTTTAGACTAAGAGATATTACTTGAAATTTTAGAAGATGAGTGTCAAATAACACTGGTTTCTGTAGCCAGTATAAATTATACAAGGATCAGTTTAACTGAGATCATTCAGAACTGCTCAAATAGCTTTCAAATTTATATTAACAATGTAGAATTTAATTCAGAATAGTCCATTCCTCAAAGAAACAGGAATGGACACAATTCAATGTTTCACATTGATTCAAACTATTTTTTCAGAACACAAAGTCATCAACATTCATACTATAGCAATGCATTTTCTATTCTGCCCACTTAGCACCAACAGAAATTGTTTATTACATGTTAGGTCCTCTATTACTTCTAGAAATATAAAAATAAGACACAGTCCTAGTTCTGAAAAACTTACATTCAGAATTTTCACACTGGCCTAAGGCAGAAACTTCCAGCCCACACGTTCTGAATTCCTAAAAGATCACTGCAACTCTTGTGAATGCTCCAGCCTTAAGCAAGCTGGAATTTCAGTATCTCTTCAGATCTTCATTAGGAGAGTTTACCATCTTTCATCATCAATTAACATTTAGTGAGCAACCACTGTAATCTACTGATCAAATGGCAGAAAAGTAATATTTAAAGCAGGATTCCAACCCACTGGTTTGCAGATTTACCTGTAAAGAGCTATTCCTGGAGGAAAGATAACTTCGGTTCTCCAGGATTCTAACTGAAATCACACAAAGCCCACCCCACCTTCTTATGAAATTGAAAATAATCCAAGGGACATTTTTAGCATCATTTTGTATTCAACTATTGGTGTTATACACATGATGATCTATACCAGGTTTCTCAGCCTCAGCATTACTGACGTTTTCAGCCAGGTATAAGCAGCTGTCCTGTGCAATGCAGGATGTTTATGGATATTCCTGACCTCTACCTACTGGGTACCAGCAGCATCCCCCTACCCCCCGCTGGGATAATAAAAAATATCTCCAGACATTGCCAAATGCCTCCGGGGGGAACAAAATTGCCCCGTGGTTGAGAACCATTAATCTAGATTGATATTCAAAGTACCAAGAGGTAGAAATTGTACTAATCAGAAGCCTGGAAAGACCTTATTCCCAGCCAGAAAAACATGTAACAGTCATTACAGAGATGGGGCAAGAAAAACATATTTTTCTTTTCTTGTCTCCCCCCCAATTTATGCTAAACAACTGAGGAGTAGGCTATACCATTGTGTATACATGAAGACATCTGGCTCAACTTTTACAATTACTGCCTTCAACTCTCCAGTGAGAAGTGAACCACTCTACAGCAGCTGCTGCATCAAAAAAAGACAAAATATGTTATTTCTGCCAGTTCAAAATTAAAATGTAGCAATCTTAAAACAGAAGCATTCACTCTGGGAGGCCAAGGCAGGTGGATTGCTCAAGGTCAGGAGTTCAAAACCAGCCTGAGCAAGAGGGAGATCTGTCTCTACTATAAATAGAAAGAAACTAGACCCCGTCTCTACTATAAATAGAAAGAAATTAATTGGCCAAGTAAACTATATATATATATATATATATATACACACATATATAAATTAGCTGGGCATGGTGGTGCATGCCTATAGTCCCAGCTACTCGGGAGGCTGAGGCCGGAGGATTGCTTGGGCCCAGGAGTTTGAGGTTGCTGTGAGCTAAGCTGATGCCACGGCACACTCTAGCCTGGGGAACAAAAGTGAGACTCTGTCTCAAAAACAAAACAAAACAAAACAAAACAAAACCCACTAGCATTACTCTTGAATTACATACGTAGAAAGAAAAACTGGGCTTGCATCAACTGGACAAGCAGACTCCCAAGCTGGAACAGAGAGGAGGACTTTGAGTGAGGGACAGAATGTTAGGTACTTAAGGCAATAATCCACAAAGAAACCCAAGCACTGGTTCTCATTTACAAGCCCTATATTCGGGATAATAAGAATCCATTTCTCATGCCAGAGCAGCCAGCCAGGTACATCACGGTGCTGTTCCCTCAAGGGGAAACCAGAGGAAGGCGCTGTTACCAGTGGAGTTCGGGTTGACACGAGGGTCTCTCCTCGCCACAGGAAAGGGGAAGCCAGGAAGTTGTGAAGCAGCTGCGATCCCCAAAACTAAATTCACACTCCACGGAATACCCAGCCCTTTCTGAACCGCAGAGGTCCTTGCCCAGTGCTCGCGAGCTTACATACAGCATCAGAATCAAGGGGGGCGGGGTGGGGAGTGTTGTTAAACACGCAGATCCGGGTCCCGCCCCTCGAGAGGTTCTAACCTGAGGACTGAAAAATCTTAATTTTGACCAAGGGCCCCAAAACATTCCTATGCACGCTGAAGTTGGAAGACCACTGCTTCGACAATTTTCTTCTTAACTTGGAGCCCACAGAAAAACACAGTTTGCAGTCAGCTCCAAAACACCTGGGGCTTCTTTCCAGGAGCTTCTGGGGCCGCGAACGGCTAGGTCGAACGGCTAGGTCCGGTCAAGTGAAAGAGCCCGCCGAGCTCAGGCCGGCCCCTCGCGGAACCTCGGCAGGGCCCAAGGTCGGCCCCGCGGTCCCGACAGAACCCGGCCTAGCCTCTCTCGGCTCACGGGGACCCGAGAAGACACCCGACCCCGTGACGTGAGCAGGCCCATCGTTCCGGGCCGGACGCCCTCGCGGTCAGGCCTCTTCAGGCGGGACCCGTTACCCCTCAGCCCCCTGCCCGGGTCACAATGGCAGCTGGACACCGGGAAACAGTCCCCCCGGAGGCGGAGGACCAGGCCCGCAGCGCCGCCCTCTACCGCCCTGAACGGACCTTCTCCAGGGACGCGTCCATGGCTGAGGCGGGCGGCGGAGTCCGGTGGTGGCCTGGCAGTCCCGGACGCTACTTCCGCCTCCCGCGCCCCGCCGCGGTATCCACGCTGGCAGCGCCGACTTCCCCCGCGCCCGCGGCCGGCGGGGCGGAGAGGAGGAGGAGCCGTCCCGAGGCGCGGCGGGTTGCGGGGGGGCGGGGCGGGGCTCTGGCGGGCTGGGCGGGGCCCTCTGGGCTTCCGTACCTGGCCGTCACGCCGGCCGGCCCTAACGCCCCCAGGTGAGGGGGGAGGACGGACTGTGGAAGTATTCCAAACTCACGTTTTCAGAAACCTGTCTTAGTCATCAAAGTAGAGGTATAATAGTAACAATTCATCCATGGAGTGAAAGGCTGGAAATACTAGTGATGCACCTGCACTTCGGGGCCCAGGCTTCAAGGTCCTCCTACCGTCACCATCCCTCAGGAATGGAACAGGCCATTCGCCACAGAAGGTTGGGGGCGTGCGTGCACCCTTGCGCAAGCGCAGAATCAACGGCGTCCCGGGCGCTTGGGGGTCTTGCAGGTTTGGGGTATTGGGCTCGTTAGTGACTCCCGTTCCGAGAAGGCTCTGACCCGAGCTTCGGTATTTGTCTCAGACCTTACAGCAGAATTTGAGATGGAAAAGGTTTTGAGACAACTGGTCCAGCCTCCTCCCTCATCTTACAATCGTGACTTGTCAGATTATAAGAATGATGATAATAGATCAGCTGCTGCTCTTCCATTTTCTATTACAACAGCCCTGTGATGCAGAGATCATTATCCCATTTCACAGTGCTGATCTTGGTAAGATTCTGTCCCAAGCACCCTGACTACACACACTGCCCCCATAACTGCTTGCTCCCCGTCATACAATTGTAATGTATTTCTAACAAATGGAAGAAGGCATATATTTGCTCAAGGTATTCCTCTGACTCTAATAAGGGAGACAAATAGAGCAGTCCCCCGCAGCTGCAGTCGGTAAAACGCTCCACAACTAAAGACTGATGACGTTACAACCACAAAACGTGCTCCTTTTCTTTCCTGTTTTGTACGCATCTCTTCCCAAATCTATGTAAGTGACTGGGTCTCATTTTCAGTGTAGTAATTCTATATTTTGAGCTACCTACCTTGTATTTGGTAAATTGCCCAGTTATGTTCATAAAATTATTTTCATCCTAGCACTCTGGGAGGCCGAGGCGGGAGGATTGCTTGAGCTCAGTAGTCTGAGACCAGCCTGAACAAGAGCGAGACCCCGTCTCTACTAAAAATAGAAAAAAATTAGCCGGGCGTCTAAAAATAGAAAAAAATCAGTCAGACGTGGTGACACACGCCTGTAGTCCCAGCTACTCAGGAGGCTGAGGCAGGATGATCATGTAAGCCCAGGAGTTTGAGGTCGCTGTGAGCTAGGGTGATGCCATGGCACTCTAGCCCAGGTAACAGAATGAGACTCTGTCAAAATAAAATAAATAACAATATAAAATAAAATAAAATTTTTCTATCAAAGGAAACCTTATGTGTTGGTGTAGAGCTATGGTCGCCAACACTTGGGGCACAGGCCGGTACCAGTCCATGGCCTGTTAGGAACCGGGCCACACAGCAGGAGTTGAGCAGCTGTCAGAAAGAAAGCAAAGCTTCATCTTATTTACAGCCACTCCCCATCGCTAATGTCACTGCATTAAGCTCCGCCTCCTGTCAGATCTGTGGCAGCATCAGATTCTCATAGGAACAGGAACCCTACTGTAAACTGCGCACTTAAGGGATGTAGGTTTTGTGCTCCTTATGAGAATCTAATGCCTGATGATCTGGGGTAGAGCTGAGGCAGTGATGCTAGCACTGGGGAGTGGCTGCAAATATACAAATGATCATTAGCAGAGAGATTTGACTGCACTATAAATGTAACGTGCTTGAATTATCCCAAAACCATCGAGCTTCTCCCCCCCCACCGCCGTCCATGTAAAAATTGTCTTCCATGAAACGGGTCCCCTGTGCCAAAAAGGTTGGGACTGCTGGTTGACAATGTTCTGTGGGAATTATTCTTATTATCCAAAGAGCTGCAAACAGAAGGAATGATCGATTTATGTCTTCCAAGAACTGCAAAGTGAATGTGTCTCTGCTTGAGCAAAACAAGTCACTTTTCCAAGGTGTTATAAAAATTTAGAAAAGTTGAAAGAATTGTACAGTGAACGATGTACTTAGATTCTATAATTAACATTTCCCTCTATTTGCTTTATCACATATGTACCTATATATCCATCCATCAATATATGTTTTGATACATTTCACCTCTGAATACCTCAGCATGGGTATCATTAAAAACTTATAATATATAAAGCTACCTCCGAATTATCTGTGGGGAATATTACAAAGAGGATTCTATAAAACAAATACTAGAGAGATAAAACTTTGCAGTTTTAAGAGTAAACTTTGAAAACTCAACATGAAAAAGCGGGAATAATCAGTTCATTTACTAGTTAGCCAAACATTTATTGACTGCCATCATGGACAGTAAGTGCTGAAAATAAGACAAGATCCCCGCCCTAAAGGGAGACACTTTTTTTAGGCAGAGATTTTTACTCTGGGGCCCAGATGGAGGACTGTGAAACTCCTGAAATCATACTCAAAATTTTGTGTGTGATTGCATTTTTCCAGGGAAAATGTCAATAGCTTTCATTGTATACTCAAGTCTGTGACCTACCCTTCCAACCCCAAAAAGAAAAAAAAAAAAAGTTAAAACTATTTGGCTTGTGGATGGACAGACAGATAAGTCCATAAATTAGAATGCAACACTCTGTGGGCTAGTAAAGAGATATGAGCACAATATTGAATCCAGAGCATAAGGCCACTTATTTTGGGGAGGTTTAATCTTAACTGACATATGGCTTATATGTGCTGTTAACAGACTGTACTTAATTAATAGGCAAAAAACAAACCAAGTGAAGGAGGAGGTATGCAGTTATTTTTCCCTTTAAATCCATTCATATGATTTTGTTGTGTCCTAAATACAACCATGTTATAGATGAGTCTTTTAGTCTTTAACTTTTAGAAGCAACCAAGTGGTACATATGGAAGATTTACTTATTATTCACCACAGCAATGCAAAAATAATAAATTAGCAAAAAGTCAGAGGGAAGAGACAAGGTGAACAGAAATGTAGATGGAATCACTAATGTCCTCAACTTCATTCTAGGGAGTAAGTAGATACTTTCTGAAAGGGCTAAATCTAGACAGTGTTAAGTGTAATATTTAAAGGAATCTCTAGAAGAAATAAAATTAAGTAACAAAAATTGGGAGTTGGAGAGGACGGGAGAGTGTAAATGGCGATAAATTTCTCATTTTCATAGTAGGGAGTCAATAGATTCTTTATAAATTAAGAAATGGATGCAAGGATATATATATTTTTTTATTTATTTATTTATTTTTTTTTTTACAAAGTAGGTAAAGGCTTCTATGGAATGGGATTCGGCAGCAGTACCCAACTTTTTTGGCACCAGGGACTGGTCTCATGGAAGACAATTCTTCCATGGATTGGCAGAGGATGGTATTTTGGAATGATTCAAGTGCATTACAATTATTGTGCAGTCATACCTCTATGCTAGGCATCCACACTTCCAACATGACAAAGAAAAGAAGGAACAACGGCAGTGCCAAAAAGGGTTGTGGCCATGTGCAGCCTATTCACTGCACGAACTCTGCCCAATGCGTGCCTAACGACAAGGCCATAAAGAAGTTCCTCATTCCGAACATAGTGGAGGCCGCAGCTGTCAGGGACAATTCTGAAGCGAGTGTCTTCGATGCCTATGTGCTTCCCAAGCTGTACATGAAGCTTCATTACTATGTGAGTTGTGCCATTCACAGCAAGGTAGTCATGAATCGTTCTCGGGAAGCCCGCAAGGACCGAACACCCCCACCCAGATTTAGACCTGCGGGTGCTGCCCCAAGACCTCCACCAAAGCCTTTGTAAGGAGTTGAGTCCTTGAGGACTGAAGAAAAACTATCCGTTGGAAAAAAATAAAATAGAAATTATACTTAATATAGCATGTTGAATATGTCTGTGCCAGATAGAGTGGAAGTTTGTGTTATACCAGGTGTTCAAGTGTGAATTGTCACATAATGTTTTCCTTTGACAGAAAGCTAATCCGTGTGAATTAAACTTTAACTCTTGCAGTCTTAAAACAAAACAAAACAAAAAAAAAACCTCTCTGGTAATGATAATCTGTGTTTGCAGCCGCTCCCCAGTGCTAGCATCACCACCTCAGCTCCACTCCAGATCATCAGGCATTAGATTCTACAAGGAGCTCACAGCCTAGGTCCCTTCCACGCATAATTTAGGGCGGGGTTCATGCTCCATACGAGAATCTAATGCCACCCCTGATCTGACAGGAGATGGAGCTCAGGCAGAGTGATGCGAAGGATGAGGAATGGCTGTAAATACGGATGAAGCTTCGCTTACTGCCACTCACCTCCTGCTGTGTGGCCTGGCTCCTAATAGGCCTAAGACTGGCCCTGGTCCCCAGCCCAGGGAGTGGGGACCTCAGGATTAGAGGATGAAGATGAGGCGAAAAAATGACAATATTCCATTTTATATTTTTATGCACCGTTTGAATTTATATCATGTGCATGCATTTCTCTTATAAATTAAAATTTTAAAGTAAATTGCCTGTAAGAAATAGATTTCAATCGTTTCTTAAACCATACCGAGCAATTTCAGAGAAGTCTGCAATCCCTAAAGGCAACTCAAGGTGGCGACCCTGAGACCACTTGTTTCTTATCTTGCTTCATTGGTGACACAAAGTTCACTAATATAGTCATTAAGGGGGAAAAAAAAAAACCACAATATTTTTATTGTTAAAGCATACAAAACAGCATAAATGAATTATCATTGACTAATACCTATAATCACTCGCCCACTCACACACACACACCCATGGAAGGAACCCTCTCAAACATGCCCCCCAAACACAATGCCAGGTCCCCCTCAACAAAGAATAATCACTTTCTAATCTTTATGGTAATCATTCCTTACATTATCTTTGTAGTTTTATCACCCAAACGTGCATCCCTAAACACTATCTCTATTTCTGTTGCCACCGCCTTGACTACTGCCACATATAATCCGTCTCTGTAGCCAAACCATTCTTAATACAGAAACCAGAGTCATCTGCTAAATGTAGAAATCAGATCCTTTGTTTAAAAGAACTTCAGCTGTTCACAGAATACAGCAGGTACGGTTCACATGGCCCACAGTATGGCATGGCCTCTGTCTACTTTGGTCTCTGTTGTCACCTTCTTTTCTTTCTTCCAATACAGCAAGCAAGATCCGTCCTGACAAGCTGTTTTCTTTGATGAGACCCTTCTGATTTTTCTTCCCCTTTGTCTTGTGTAACTTCTAATCCCTTTGGTAGAAGTTTAAAGTATCATTTTCTCAGGGAACTGTCATAAGTGTTTATGGGTATATTTCTCCTTCAATGTACTTAGCACAGTTATAATTAATTAATTAGTTGTTTAATGTCTGTCTCTCATGATAGATTATAAATGCTATTTCTGCAGGGACAGATTTTGTCTTTCATTTTACTGTGTCCCCAATGCCTAGCAGATAGACTCTCAAAAAGTAGCTGTAGAAGAAATGAATAATGATTCCACATACTGGCACAGTGTGCAAATTTTATTTTCCAAACATTTCCATTGTTTTCAATCTGGTTTTAATGAGTATCATATTTTAAAGACACTCCATGGGCCAAGAGGCAATTTACCTCCCAAGGCTAGTTAGCCCAGAGTCTAGAACGCAGTAGGGATTCAGTGTGTAATTAGTCAATGAATTGATTCAACAAATATTTTCTGAAGGTGCATTATATACCAGGCAGTATTTTAGAAATTGGGAATACAACAGTGACTAAAGAGATTAAGCCTTTGCCTTTTGTGCCTCTTATATCCTATTGGAATGGAAAGATAACAAGTAGCAATATAATATAATATTAATTACTTGTAAATACCACAGGAAAATAAAGCAGGATAAAGGAATAGAAAGTAAATTATGAATGAATCCATTCTTTGGTTGTCAACTTAAAATCTCTATTCTAAAATATCGAAAATTGTGTTCAGTGATAATTAGCTGGAAATAGAAGTAAGCAAAACCAACCAATACAACCAGTGATTTGCTGATTTATTATTTTCAAGACCTTGATGAAAACATTCCTATTGACACTTTTCTGGTACTCAAAGGACTTTTCTTTGATATTTTAGCAGTTCTGGCAAGTCACAGACTCTACTACCATCTAATTATTATAGGAGTAGGTTTGGGCATGAAGTCTTGGAAAATTTGAGGCAGGTATGTTAAGATTGATGCAGTCACATAAAAATAATAATTTTTATTAACATTTTAAACCACAATTTGATTTATGTTTGTTTCAGACTTATTTATATTTTATGAAACTACCCAGCCTTTTCTAAAACTGTGTGCCCTAAAGGTGAATGAGCAAATGCATTAACAGAAAATAAAAAAAGAAAAACATGTACAAATAGTCAACAAACATGAAAAAAAGTTCAACATTACTAGTAATCAAAGAAATGCAAAAACAGAGTGAGATAGCATCTTTGCTTATAATTAGCAAAGTTTTTTAAAAAGATATACAATATACAGTGTTCGTATAGAAGAAAATAAATACTCTCATGCATTGATGGTAGAATTTTTAGATTATGAAACCTTTCATACATTTCAATTGCATTGAACTGAATGGAATGGGTCATTCATTAACAGAAAACTTAAAATATACCTATCCTTTGTATAGGATCCTTTAGGGACACCTACCTTTTGTCCCTAAAATTCTGTCCCCAGAAATGTAAACTAAAGATGTAATTAAGTTAAAGACTTAACAATAACTATGCCCATAGCAGCATTGCTTATAATGGTAAAAAATTGAAAACAAACTACATATCCAATGATATAATACAGAATTGGTTAAATAATGGTACTTCTATAAAATTGTTGACACAACCTTTAAAAATAGCAAAGTAGATAAATACTTATAAACATGGAAAGATGACATATTGTTAACTCAAAAAGGTTGGTAAGCATACAGCCTGTATAATAGGAGCCTATTTTGCTTTTTAGAAAAGGAAAAATTATATACATGCATGAAAAAGACTATAAAAATTTCATCAAAAATAGAAATAGTGGTTGACTCTCAAGATGTTTTCTCAGGCCGGGCGTGGTGGCTCAAGCCTGTAATCCTAGCACTTTGGGAGGCCAAGGCGGGTGGATTGCTCAAGGTTAGGAGTTCGAAACCAGCCTGAGCGAGACCCCGTCTCTACCAAAAATAGAAAGAAATTAATTGACCAACTAAAAATATATATATACAAAAAATTAGCCGGGCATGGTGGCGCATGCCTGTAGTCCCAGCTACTCGGGAGGCTGAGGCAGTAGGATCGCTGAGCCCAGGAGATTGAGGTTGCTGTGAGCCAGGCTGACGCCACGGCACTCACTCTAGCCTGGGCAACAAAGTGAGACTCTGTCTCAAAAAAAAAAAAAAAAAAAAGATGTTTTCTTAGACTTTTTTGTTTTTCATACTTGTAGAATTATTTTTTAAAAAACATTTATATACTATGCCAATTATTGATTTATTATTTCCCAGCTCCAAATCCATCACTTTTATCTGCTGAGTAAAAATAGAATTGGGCCCTTTTGCGGGGGTGGGGGGACACCGTGTTAATTTAAGTTTTGTCGGTAGAGGGCGCTGGAGATACGTTTTGCAGGAGGAAAGTGTTTTGCTTCCTGGTTCCTGCTAATGGCTTCTCCAGAGACCAGCTCCTGCAACATACATACATATTCTGGCTAGCAGCTTCCCCTGGCACTCCCCTCTGGAGGTTTTGCACCTTTAGTGAGACACTTTCTCATGAGAAGTTTACCCCAGAGGGCAGATTTCCTACAAGTTCCAAAGGGCAGATTTCCAGCAAGTTCCACCCGCTGGCAGAGTACCACAGCAACTGTCGTCTTTGCCATTCAGTGAACCAGGGCTGTGCCCTCCCAATATGGCCTGGATCTCAGCCCTGGGGCGAGGGGAGGTGGTTCTTTGGGTGTCCTATCTCAGTCATAGGGGTAGTGGCTGTTCTTTATATCTACTGTTTTTATACTCTTTGGAGTTCTTACTACTCAATCTCTCATTATTCCAATCCACTCCTAACAATTCTTCATACAGTAGATCCTCATTATTTGTGGAGTCTGTATTTGCAAATTTGACTACTTGCTAAAATTTATTTGGAACCCCCAAATCAATCTTGTGGTGCTTTTGCCATCATTTGAAGACACACATGCACAGAACAGCAAAAAATTTGAGTCACACGATACACTCATGCCCAGCTGTGGTCAAACAAGACAGCATTCTGCCTTCTTGTTTCACCTCTCATACTATAAAAAAGCATCCTTAACACAGTCTATTTAGTGCCTCATTTTTCACAGTTCTGTGCTTTTTGTTGGTAATTTTGCTGTTTAAAATGGCCCCCAAATGTAGTTCTGAAGCGCTATCCAATGTCCCTAAGTACAAGGAAACTGTGAAGTGTCTAATGGAGAAAATACATTTATTAGATAAGGTTTGTTCAAGCATGAGTTAGAGCACTGCTAGTTGTGAGACCAATGTTAATGAGTCAACAGTGTATATTAGATAAGGTGTCCCTCAACAGAAATACTCATAAAACAAAGTTATCAGTTGATAAAAAAAATGTGACCAGAGACTTGGGGGAATCTAATCCTGTATTTCCTTAAAAGTAGTGATTTAGTATTTGCTAATTCAGTGTTCTTGGTGACTTTATTGAACATAATGACGTTGAATAATAAGAATCAACTGTATTACACTTTCCCTGTTCTAATTACAGGTATGATTTCTCTCTCCTGATTGGATCAGACTGATAAGTACTAAAATCATCTCCAAACTGTTCCTGCACTAATTAGTTATTTCTTCCACATATTAGTAGATTCATACATTTTCCTGGAGTATTTGAAGTTTCAAATGTTCGAAAAAGCATAATTGGAGAAGAAAACTCTCTGCGATTAATTCACTTTTCATGTGAAAATTCTTAATTCATTTGCATGTTTGAATGTGCACTAGATAAACATCTTTAAAGCTACCTCTTAGGTTGGGTTTTTCATAGTTTCAGATTTTTAAATTTTATCTCTTCTTTATGCACTTTAAAAGAACTTCCAAATTTATTTCTGTTCACAAAGATTAACAATGAGAAATTAATGAAATAAATCAATTGACTGCTCTATTATCCCACTCCAACTGTAAGATGAATAGTTACTTAAAATAAAGCTGGTGAAAACATAGTTTCTGAGCCTAAGAAACACTCCAGTTAAAACATATCTCCCAAGTGGCACAATTTCAAAGTACCAAGTTGCAGGTGGGTTCTAGAATGTCCATCATCTTTGTTAAGAAATCTGTTGCCACATTTTATTATTCTATTGGGCATAGGAAAGAAGGATGGAGAAGTATTCTAAACTTTTAAACAAGAGTGAAAACAGATAACTGTAAGGCTGGTGGTGGGTCCCCCTCCCCTCCCCAGATCAAAAAAGAAAAGGCTCACAAAACCAAACCCCCCAAAGACAACTGCCAGGCCCTGCTGAGAACAACCACACCTAGATATCCACCGAGATAAGAAAGTTTTAGCTCCTGGATTCCACAAATATGGCCAGCCCCTCCTATTTCTCAATGACCACCAAAGGTCACAGTGGAAAAAACCCCAGCTCTTCCCACCAAAAGTCCTCAGCCCACTTAAAACGGTATAAAAGCCTCCCGCTGTTTCAAACAGGTGCGACTTCTCAGGCCCCCCCTCTCTTGGGATCTGCGAACCTCGTCCGGGAGCACTCAATAAAGCCACATTGTTTGCCCCCCCCCCCCGTTTCTTTTGCCGCCAGAAAACTTTACAATAACATTTTAGCTTCAGTATTTTGTTTCAGCTCTGGCCAATATTAAAATGGTAAGAAAAGGATCATATTGATTGAAGCACCCCCTTGCACATAAATTTGTATCAGTACAATGGTAAGAGTTGGCTAGGTCATAGAGACAGAATTCTAGGCACGGTTTCTCCACATCAAAGGTGAAATGCAATGATTTTATGAGAGGATTGCTTAATATTTCTGCTACCTGGACCAATTAAGGCTCTGGTGGGAGTCAGGTTTATAGTTAATATTTTCTTCCTTCTGATCTCCCCTTCTGACCTTATTTCCTAGCTGGAGTGCCTTTTATTTTGTTTTATCTTATTTTTTAGAGACAGGTCTCACTCTGTTACCCAGGCTGGAGTGTAGTGGCCGTGATTATAGCTCACTGCAGCCTCAAATTCCTGGTCTCAAGCTATCCTCCCACTTCAGGCTCCTGAGTAACTGGTACTACAGGTATGCTACCCAGCTAATTTTTAAATTTTTTGTATTATAGAGCTGGGGTCTTGCTATATTGCCCAAGCTGATCTCAAACCCTTGGCCTCAAACGAGCCTCCCACATTAGCCTCTCAAAGTGCTGGGATTAGAGGCATGAGCCACTGTGCCTGCCTTTGTGTGCCCTTTTTCTGTGTGCACATACAAACAGGGAGTGAGCAAGGGGATGTTTTGGGAGAATCCCAGGACAGTATAGAAAAGCTGCCCCCTAGGCTGAGAGGGAGCTGAGAGACCAAAGAATGACTCAGACAAGTCCAGTTTGACAAGTTAAATGAGTTTATTAAAGGTTACTATATGGTTACTTTAAATCTCTTCTCAATGAGTAAGGCAGAATTTTTACAATATGTTACTGAAAGCTCAGGACTTGTCCAGAGGCCCAATGAGAAGAATGAGGACAAGTGGTTACTTTGCTAGCCAAAGAGAAGAGCCAGAAAGGAGACTCCTGTCTGTAATGCTATCGTCCTAATAATAAGCAGAAACAGAGCTTTTATAGGATGGGTTCTCAGCTTCAGGCAATTACTGTTTAACTACAGTTGATGGTTCTGATCATCCCATCTCCACTGAAGACAATCTCATGACCTTTACCCAGGACCTCCCTTCACCAGGTCAGGCTGGGCCACCTCTTGTTGCACAGATAACAAATGACTTGCCCTGCCCCTCCCAATCACTCCCCTGGGGATGTGCAGGGATGCATGCAGGCTTTGGTTTTCCAAAAGGAGCGCAGGATGTGTTAAAGAGACGAAAAATATTTTTGCCTTTTTTTTTCCAGGTCATTCCCTGTTACAAATGTATCTTTGCTTGTTCACAGAGAAACATGTCATGAAGTGTCAGTACCACCCATGTTATGTTAATAATATTACAGTTCTCCACAAGGTGGGGATTTTAGTGCTACAGTCAGCTAAAAGGGCACTACAGGACAGCCAAGGCAGCTCCAAAGCAGTCAGGGCTGGTCTAAGCCGGCCCCTTCAAGGCAGGAAAGTGCTGAGTTCCCAGGAAAGTGCTGGGCCCAGTATTTATCTTGGCACTTGCTTCATCTACTTTGTAACAGCCTTGCTGAGCACTCCAGGCTAGCACAGCACAGTGTATCTGTCACGTGGTGGGGAACGTGCATTTTCCCTTTTCAAATTCATCCAAATAAAAATAAATTTTAAAAAGAAAAACTATTGAAAATTTGCATAAAGCAGAGTTATTTTTATTGCTCTATAGCCACACTGTGAGCAAAAACCTTGTGCTTATGGGCACACCCAGCTTCAAAATCAAAGCACCCCCTTGCATTCAGGTGCTGCTGGAGAAATTGCAGAACTGATATATTAAGAATGAAGGATTCTGGAATGAAGGGGTCTCAGTGGGTAAAGATATCAGGAACGGGGGAGGATTAGATATCTGTTGGCTTCCCTCTAGTCTCATTTCTGGTGACAAAGAGGAAGGCAATTGCTTCAGTTTCCTGCTCTGTGCCCAGATGCAGAGACAAGTCTCAGAGGTGCATATTGAAAGAGCATGAGGAAGTTCAATGCTACCTTTTTTGACCAGTAGGCCTTAGCCGATTGCGTCATCCGCTCATTGGAAAACAGTCCTATTGGTCTTAAAGCCTTTTGAGCATAGTAGGAGTCTGGTTGTTTTTTTCTTTTTTTTTGAGACAAAAAAAAAAAAAAAAGCCTCTGTTGCCCAGGCTAGAGTGCCGTGGCATCAGCCTAGCTCACAGCAACCTCAAACTCCTGGGCTCAAGGGATCCTACTGCCTTAGCCTTCGGAGTAGCTGGGACTACAGGCATGCACCACCATGCCCGGCTAATTTTTTCTATATATTTTTAGGTGTCCAGCTAATTTCTTCCTTTTTTTAGTAGAGATGGGGTCTGGCTCTTGCTCAGGCTGGTCTCAAACTCCTGAGCACAAATGATTCTCCTGCCTCAGCCTCCCAGAGTGCTAGGATTACAGGCATGAGCCACTGCGCCCAGCCCATAGTAGAAATCTTTTCTGTTAGTAAAAATTTCAGGATTAGCAAAAGTTAGATTTCAGATGCTGTGGCCCACTTGGTGGTTCTTATTAAGCCCCCATTCATTAAAACAAAATGAAATAATGATAAATATTAACAGCTACAATAAGCTCCATTGTAATCATCTTAATGTCTTTTTAATGTGATCCTTAGTTGTAAATTGAAGCTCAGCTCCCACACCAGTGCTTACTCCCTGCTGAACAAGTTCTTAACAGAGCTCCCCCTTCATCTTGTAACACAGCCCTGTGCTCTCCAGTCATCCCCTGGTGTGCAGGGATATTAATACCACACGAATATGTGGCCTCATTATTGCTGGAGGGCTCTGAGTCACAGCTTCTACAGATGATGCAGCATCAATGTAATGAATCAATTTATCTTAGAGCAACTCCTCTCATGTGAAGACCATGCGTGTCTTTAGCACTTGCTTGAGTGATGGATTGTCTTCAGCTACTGACGTTTTGATTGCTTTTAAGAAGAGTTGAGGATACAGCAATACATGTGCAATGCTAATAAACCTTCTAAGTATTCATTTTTTCTTCTTTCAGTTCCCATTAAGTAAATCCGTCAAGCTGCTTGATAAAGACCACCATGGATTTCGGAGGATAAATGTCTCTACAGATTGTTACCAATCTCTTACTCTTCGGGTTTCTGCAAGGAATAATGAGTTAACGTGGAGAACTGACATATGCAAGAGGCACTCAGTAAACATCAGTTCCCTCCCTTTGGGGTTGCCAGATTTAGTAAAATAAATTTGGAAAAAATACGGGGTGCCCAGTTAACTTTGAATTTTAGGTGAAGGATGAAAAATTTTACAGTATAGATATGCCCCCAGTATTGCGTGGGGCACACTTAAACTAAAAAAGTCATTCATTGTTTATCTGAAATTCTAAGTTGACTGAACATCCTGCATTTTATCTGGCAGCCCTAATCCCTCTCCTACCTCATTTTGTGGCTCCAACGTTCCTTTTCCAGGAACCCAAGTTTGCTCTATTTTTCTGTCTAACAAATTTGGTTAAAAGAATTGTGTAGAAATCATTGGGGGAAACTTTCCTTTTTTCATAGACCGAAAGATTTTTTTTTCTAGGAACCCAACTTTGCTCTATTTTCTCTCTAATACATTTGGTTAAGGGAATTGTGTATGAATCATTAGGAAAACTTTGCTCTTTTTTTATAGACCATAAGCATTTTCTCTAATTTAGGCAGGAATTGGATTTTTTTTTTTTTGGAAGGCATTGCAAATACAAATCCTTTCCACATACAGCATATATAGTTCAGTGCCTGACACATAATGGTGCTCAATGAATATTTATTAATTGAATGAATGAATGAACCCATTTGCTGGGACAGATAGTCCTGATCTGTATGTGTTGATAAATGGGTAGTTTGATTTCAGCTAAGATGGTCAATTGCTGTTAGGTGAGACCAGTGGTCTCAGAGAAGGAAGACATGATAAAGAGGGATATAGTAGGATGAATAATGGTCCCCCCAAAGATGTTCATGTCTCAATCTCTGGGAATATGCTGCTTTTCCTGGCAAAATGGATTTTATAGATGTGACTAATGTAATGATCTTGAGATGGGGAGAGTGTCTGGATTATCCAGGCAAGCTTAATATAATCACAAGGGTCCTTCTAAGCGTGAAGTAGGAGGGTCAGGGTCAGAAAAGGCTATGTGACAATAAAACAACAGAGAGAGAGACTGGAAGATGCCATGCTGCTGACCTTGAAGGTGGAGGCCACAGCCAAGGAAAGCAGGGGGAGGCTAGAAGCTGGAAAAGGCAAGGAAGTGGATTCTCCTCTGGGACCTCCAGCCCTGCAGACTCATTTTAGACTTCTGACCTCCAAAACTCTAAGACAAACAACTTGTGTTGTTTTAAGTCATTAAATCCATGTTAATTTGTTACAGCAGCAATGGGAAAATAATACAAGGGAGATATAAGTAATAAGCAAAGAAAGAGATGTTTTGCTGAGCAAGGAGCTTGGGAGAAATATAACTGAGAGAAATCTGGTGGAAGGATTTACTTGGGACCAGCAACAAGGACAAGGAGAGGAGAGGGCTGGAGGTCCCAGCCCATATTGGCAAATGGGCAGATAGAAAGGGTAGAAGAACGTAGAAATCGGCAGATTCCTAAGAATCAAAGAGAATGGATATATTAGTTTGCTGGGGCCACCAATGGGATGGCTCAAACAATAGAAATGTATTTTCTCACAGTTCTAGAGGCTAGAAGTCCAAGATCAGGGTGTCTGCTGGGCTGGTTTCATTCTGAGGCCTCGCTCCTTGGCATGCAGATGGCTGCCTTGTCGCTGTGTCCTCACACGGTCTTTCCATGTTGTGCCCCTGGTGCCTCTTTGTGTGTCCAGATTTCCTCTTCTTATAAAGACACCAGACAGATTGGATTAGAACCCACCCTAAAGGCCTCGTTTTAACTTAATCACCACTTTAGAGGCCCTGTCTCCAAATACAGTCACATTCTGAGGTACTGGGAGTTAGGCCTTCAACATATGCATTTTCAAGGAGACACAATTCAGCCCATAACAATGGGGTTGCTAAATTGAAGTACAGTCTACAAAATAACTGGCTAGCAGCCCAGATTGGAGACTAAGGTGACAGGACAGTTCAACACCGTGCAAAGTGATCCAGGACTGGATGCCAGACTGGGAAAAAAAGGATTTTAGTGGGACAATTGGCAATAATTTCAATAAGGCTTGTAGATTAGGTAATAGCATCATAGCTGTGCTTACCTTGTTTGGATCATTGTACTATGGTTACGTAAGATGTCAACATTTGGGGAAGCTTGAGTGAAGAGCACATGGGAACTTTTTGTACCGTTTTCTAAGTCTGGTTTCAAAATTAAAAGTTAAAAATAAAAATAATTAAAGATTAAATAAAATAGAATAAACAATAGAAAAGAGTACATGAGGGAGACAGAACTGGGTTAGTTACATGTGACTATGAAGGAAGGAAAAAAAAGACAGGAAAAGAAGGAAGAAGAAAATGAGTTCTATGTGGTCAGAGCTTCTACAGCAGCTGTTGTTGGGGTTCCCACTGCCCCCTGCTCTGGGACAGTATCTGGGAGCTCAGCATGTGTGCCACAAACTGAAGAGGAGATGGCAGGAGACACATTGGGTCTCATCTCACATTCATGGTAGGCCTCAAATTTTAACTTGTGACACTCACTCCAAAGGAAGTTACACGATGTCAGTGTGTTGAAAGTGTGAGGCCAGCTGGGGTGTGAACCTGTAATTCCAGCGCTCTGGGAGGCTGAGGTGGGAGGATTGCTTGAGGCTAGGAGTTCAGGACTAGCCCAGGCAGTGTTGTAAGATCCAGTCTCTAAAAAATTAAATTAAATTAAAAAGTTAGTTGGGCCTGGTGGTGCACCTGTAGCCCCAGTTACTTGGAGGCTAAAGCAGGAGAATCCCTATAGCCCAGGAGTTTGAAACTGCAATGATCATGCTACTGAAGTCCAGCCTGGGCCACAGAGCAAGACCTCATTTCTAAAAAAGCAAACCGTAAACTAAAATAAAATCTTAAGGCTCCTCTCACACTGGCTGACTGAATGGAACCCCTCCTGGCCACATGGGTATCTTTAAATTGCCAGCCACAGAGGAGGGAGGTCAGACATGCCCCATCATCCCCTGCTTCCTTCTTGGAGATATCCTTTGTAAATACATTAACAGGCCTAACTAAGGCTGTTCAAGACAAACATGCAGGTCCTCAATTTACACAACATATATATGTCCAGTGGCTTGTCTCTGATCAACAAAGTTCCTTATCTTAAAACATTCCAAGCCTTTAGACAAAACTTCATGTCCTTAACCAATTACAAGTCAAAGAGCCCTCCCTCCCCCTGCTTCAAGATGGCCCACCTTTTGGGGACAAACCAATGTATGCCTTCCATGTATTGATTTATGACTTTACCTGTAACCCCCATCTCCCTGAAAAGTATAAAACCAAACTGTAATCTAACCACGAGGTTTTTTTGGTGTGGCTCCGGCACATGGTCCTCAAATTTGGCTCAGAATATATCTCTTTAAAATTATTTTAGAGTCTGTCTTCTTTTCGGTAGACAAAATGAACAACAAAGAAAACGGATGAAGGCAAAGTTGCTATTTTGGTAACTGAGTTTTGCTATCCCTTCATTTTCTCCCCTTTATTTTTCGAGATATAATTCACATCCCATAAACTTCAATTCAATGTACAATTCAATGGTTTTTAGTATATTGACAAAGCTGTGCAAGCTATCACCACTATCTAATTACAAAATGTTTCTTTCTTATTTTTTAGTAAACAAGGGGGTCTCACTTTTGCTCTGGCTGGTGTCAAATTCCTGAGCTCAAGCGATCCTCCCGCCTCGGCCTCCCAGAGTGCCAGGATTACAGGCAAGAGCCATAGCCTCTGGCCCAAAATGTTTCCATCGTTCTAAAAAAGAGCCCCATGCCCAGTCAGCAGTCACTTCGTATCCGGCATCTCCTGCACCCAGTCAGCAGTCACTTCGTATCCGGCATCTCCTGCACCACTGATCTACCTCGTGTCTTTGCCAGTTCTGGACGTCTCGCGGGTGTGGACTCGTGCCTTAGGTGGACCAGGCGCGTCGCAAAGGCTCAGCCCCCACGACAGCCAGTGGCCACGGGATTGGACCGCGCGGCGGGGGTGTGCGGGGCGCCCAATGGCTCTGCGGCGCCGGCCCGGGCAGGTGCAGGGGCGGCGGCGGGCGCGGTGCAGGAAGCCTCCCGGCGGCCGCCCGCGGGCGCGAGCATGGCGGGCTGGTGGCGGGCGCTGCCGCGCGCGGCCCGGCGCTACCCGTGGCCCACCAACGTGCTGCTCTACGCCGGGCTCTACTCGGCCGGCGACGCGCTGCAGCAGCGGCTGCGGGGCGGCCCGGCGGACTGGCGCCAGACGCGGTGCGTGGCCACCGTGGCCGTGACCTTCCACGCCAACTTCAACTACGTGTGGCTGCGCCTGCTGGAGCGCGCGCTGCCGGGCCGCGCGCCGGGCGCCGTGCTGGCCAAGGTGCTGTGCGACCAGGCGCTCGGCGGGCCCGTCGCGCTCTCGGCCTTCTACGTCGGTGAGGGGCGGGGCGGGGGCCGGGCGCGGTCCGGTGAGGGGCCCCAGACCTTGCGTTCGGGGTCTGCAGGGGGGCGCTGCAGGGGGTTGGGGACCCGCGGGAGCCAGGGCGCTGGGGGCCGGGGCCCGCGGCTGGAAGGCCTGGATGGGCGGGGGCGCAGAGGGCCGGGCAGAGGCTGGAGTCGGGACGCAGGGGCCAGGGTGTCTGGGGACTGGAGATTGAGGTTTCCGAGGGGGAGAAGTTGGGGACGCTGGCAGGGGGAGCCTGGGGATTGGGGAGCCAGGGGACCAGCGGGTCAAGGATCCGAGGGCCTAGGGTCCGGACTGGGACGCTAGGGTTGGGCATAGTCCCAGGCTGGGGTTAGGTAGAACTTGGGGAGGGGGCGCTCCATTTCCCCCTGAAAAGGGCTCCCAGGAAAGTCGAGGAGACCATGGCAGCTGCGACCCCTGTGAGTCAGTCATGAGTTGTGTGTGGGGGGGCAGTCCTGTTCTTTGGAAAAATCCACGCCTGAGGTTGCGGGGCCAACACACCAACAAAATGTGAGGGGACTGGCGACCCCGGGGGGGGGGGGGGCAGAGCAGGTGCAACCTGAGGTCGAGTCTGATTCCTCAGAAAATTCATGCCCAGGGTCCTAGTCCTGCTTTGATAACAAGATTTTCCTAAGACGGTCCCACAGAAAATGTGAGGTGACCTTGGACCCTTGCCATAGAGGACTCTGTACCTGTGAGGGTCCAGAGAGCCCTCTCTTCAGAAAATTCTCCTTGGGGCTGGGGGGCCCTTCCTTCCTGCCTAGATACCAAGAAAAGTGGAAGGGGCTCTGTGGCCAATGTCGTCACAGCAATTTCTATGACTTTGAAGGGGGTGGGCTGGGTAACTGGGGAGGGGCACGATTCCCTCAGAAAATCTCTACCGGTCTTGGGCCTGAGGTTGGCATTGGGGATCACAAATTCCCCCCAAAATGGAAGGGGGCTTCTCTTAGGGGCTGTTGATGCCTTTGTAACCAGGTTGAGGGCAGGCAAGCCACCATCTTAAGGAAACCTACCCTGCCCCATGGGTTTTGTTTTGTTTTATTTTGTTTAGATAGTTTTGATCGTCGCCCAGGCTAGAATGCAGTGGAATCATCATAGCTCACTGCAACAACAAACTCCTGGGCTCAAGCGATTCTCCTGCCTCAGCCTTCCAAGTAGATGGGACTATAGGCACACTCACCTGGCTAATTTTTCTATTTTTTGTAGAGATGGGGTCTCACTCTTGCTCAGGCTGGTCTTGACTCCTGGCCTCAAGCCATTCTCCCTCCTCCGCCTCCAAAGGTGCTAGGATTACAGGCGTGAGCCACTGTGCCTGGCCCCCATGGGTCTTATTTTCCGGGGTCAAATTTAGTTCCTTTTGCCAAGGGACCCCACACGAAACAAAAAACTTGGTTGCCTGCTGCAGTCTCAGCCAACCACATGGCAGGTGGGATCAATGTAGTCAGAGAATAGACAATCTAAGAGCAGGGACCTCCTGGTTTATCCGAAGGTCTGTGCCTGGTCCCAGGGCGTGACTTCCAGACCAGATTTGCAAACATGTTCCTTGTGCCTGCTACTGCAGTGGCCTTGTACACTGGTGAAGGGGTTGAGAGTCAGGGACTAGGACTTTGGGGATCAGATTCCTATTTAATCCTCTAATAACCAAGGAGGCAGGTACTCTTAATGTTTCCTGGTTACAAATGAGGAAACTGAGTCTCAAAGGGGTTATGTGACTTGCCCAGAGACAACACAATCCAGGCTCTCACTCATGTTCATAATCTTGATGATCTAATGGTGAGAGTGTTGTCTGTCTAAAATCAGAAAGATGCTGCAGCAACAGGGCTTGCGGAGACCTGTGATTCCCGCAGAGGGCCCTGGTACAGATTCCTGCCCAGATTGCTGCTTTGTTTTGCTTTTCACTCGTCTTTGCCAGTTTCTCTCACCTCAAGCTGCAATGAAGGGGGAAGGGGATAAGGAGAGGGTTGGATGTTTGTGTAAGGCACTGCTTTGAAATTGCATGGATCAGATGATCTTTTGTGCGGGGGGCCACCTTGGGGAGCCAGAGTACTAACAGATTAAGAGGACTGGCTCAGGTTGGATTTGGTCTTCTGTTAACCTCTCTAAGTTCTTTTCCTCCTCTGTAACTCTACCTACCTTAGCGAAAGTGAAAAGAGGCACATAGGCCAGGTGTGGTGGCTCACACCTGTAATCCTAGCACTCTGGGAGGCTGAGGTGGAAGGATACCTTGAGCTCAGGAGTTCAAGCCTAGCTTGAGCAAGAGTGAGACCCCTTATCTACAAAAAAAAAAAAAAGAAAGAAAAATTAGCCGGGCATCGTGGTCGCGCACCGCTGTAGTCACAGGCTACTCACGGAGGCTGAGTACACCAACAACAAACAAAACAAACAGAGGACACTCACCTGCAGCCAGGAGAATAACACATTGATAGCATGCAGTGACTGTGATGATGCACTGTAAACAAAAAACTAAGCTGGTTGGACAGAGGAGGAACTACTATAAAAAAAAGTTTGAACTGGTCATTTTCAGGAGGATGAATGTTACATCAACTATATTCAAATTGGATTTACCGGAATAATCACATGAAGGCACTATCAATGATCGAGGATATGCCAACAATCACATATAGGACAAGTTCCTAACAAGCCCTTTTTTTTAAAAGAAATAATTAATTTTTTAAACTTGATAAAAAATAAAACGAAAGTTTTGGGAAGGATATGAAGAAATTAAACAATAAGTACACAACTACTATACTATAACCAGATATAGAATAATAGATGATATTCATATGGAGATTAATATATAAAGTTTTTAATTTAATGGAAGATAAAATTACAATGCTAAATATTATAATAAATGACAAATATAGCCATGATACCTATCAGCATATATACACATATATATTAGTACATAATACATATAATAAATAAATAATATAAAAAATAGAGGAAATATTAGAAAGATGTTTTATAATATTTATACATGTTAAGAGATACAGAGAAGATACATGAGGATGAAAAAAAAGTGGATTGGGGGGAGATATAACAAATAAGATTAATAGAGATAGAAGGGAAACGTACAACATAAACTGTTGGGTACAGTAATCTTTATAGAAATACCTTATATAATAATTCTTTTTTAGTGATGGTGTTATTTTATGTATAATAGGTAAATAGAACATTGTTTGCCAGGGAAAGGGATGATATATTTTTTGGGACCGCTGAAACAGAATTCTAAGGAGATAAAACATAAAAAAAAACAAAAAAAAGAAGTCAAAAAGAACAAGAAATTATTTTAATATTAATGAAATAGAATCGAATAATCAAATTAATATATGATATAAAACAAATATAATATAATATATATTATAAATAAACTGTTCTTAAAATATAAATAGACTCACGAATAGAAGTTTTGGCATCAGGGTACACAAAGATATATATTTATCACAACAGAGAATACATATATAATATTAACAATATATGAATAGGGTTTTGAGTGGGGAAGAGGAAAGATTTTAAGAAATGTACTTTCCTGCAGGAATCGGAAAGAAATAATAAAATAAACATATAGAAAATCTAGCTTAATGTTCAAACCATGGATAATTATATATTATATAGACACTATAGTTATTATGTTAGTCTTATTAATGATCACAGATCTTTGTTCTTTCGTAAATTGGGGGCCCTATTTTGTAATAGGAACTGTAAGAGAATGGTGTTCTTAATGGAATCAATGTCCACATTCTTAAGCCAAAGTTTCTGGGTGTGAATTCCTGTTGGGTCCCCTGCCAAACAAAGAACATTAACATCTGGAAAAGGAATTTACTCGAGGAAAAGAAGAGTAACTTTTCCCAGGCCGGCAAGGGAGAACAGGGAGGGGGGTTATGGAACCAAGTTTTTTCGCGATAAAAAATAAGGGAAGCAAGCCGGGGCGCGTGGCTTTCACGCCCTGTTTACTCCTTAGCACTCTGGGAGGGCTTGGAGGCAGGGCGATTGCCTCGAGTCAAGGAAAGTTCGAAACGCAGCTGAGCAAGGAGTTGAGACCCGTCTCACTATTAAATAGAAAAAAATTAATTGGGCCAACTTAATTATATACTCAATAGAAATTAGCCGGGCAAATAAAAAAAGAGTGGCGCAGAGCCTAAATAGTCCCAGCTACTTCGGAGGAAAACAATGAGAGAGGCAGAGACAGAGAGATACACAGTTGAAGCCCAGGAGATAAAATATAGAAGGATTGACTAGGAGCTACGGCTGTGGCCACGGCCACTCACTCTAGCCTAAGAGTCAAACAGATGGAACACTCCCTGTACTCAAAAAAAAATAAGGAAGGCAGTGGGGCATAAAAAAAGAGAAAAATAAGAAGATATAATAGAAGCCAATATTTGCAGGGTAAGAATTTGATAGGTCCCTTTATTGATAAAATGGGAAGGACTTTCACAATTCTAAGCTAGAAAACCGGTGGGGGGCGGATAAAGAGATAGATTAATATATTTTATAACACAACCTTTGTTTTTTTGGAAGGGACAGAGAGGAACAGGGAGACAATTTAAGGGGAAAAAAACAAGATGGAGTTTCAGTTGGGGAAATGTTTTGAATTTCCCAGGATTGCCTTTGTTAGGATATTCAGAAGGGAAGAATTTTCCAGATGCACAGAGGGAGAGTTTCCATTGCTTGGTGATATATATAAAATATATATATATTTTAGTGACAATCAGATGGAATCCAGACAAAAAGATTATGGCCAGTATGAGGAAGAATAACGACATATCATAAAGATAAGGTATAACTTATGGTCCCTGGTGGACATCCTCCACGAATACATTATATTACATTTTTAATATCATTCTTATTACCTTACTTTTATTATTTATTATATATAAGAACAGCAGGTCTCACCATTCTTCACAGGGCTTAGTGTTGGGGAGTGCCGTGGCATCAAGCCTGGCTCAACAGACAACCTCAATCTCCTAGGCACTCAAAAACAGATGATACATAACTGCTCAGCCATCGCCAGAAAGTAAGTGGGAACCGCTCACCAGGCCATCGCGGCCCTACCTGGCCCTGGCATAACATTTTTTTCTATATATAATTTGTTTTAGTTTGGCATAATATAAATTATATCTGTATTTTTTTAGGATAGAGATGGGATCTTGCCTCCCAGGCTTGGTTTCCGAACTCACTGACCATCAAGAGAGATCTGGCCCGCCACTCGCCTTCCCCAGAGAACCCATGTTACCTTCACTTTTTGGCCATACACGAATGCTTACCAGGCAGGCATCTAGCCAGGACAGCTGATGGCTCACACTGTTAAATCCTAGCACTCTGGGAGGCCCGAGGTGGGGAGGATTGCTTCAGCTCAGGAACCTGGAGACCAAGACATGAAGAAAGGAAGAAAAGAACCACCGGTCTCTACTAAATATACAAAATGAGCTTGAGCAATAGGTTGGGCAACTTGAATATATAAGATAAAAAAAAAAAGCATAACATATGAGAGAGATATGAGAAGAGGGATCCACGCTGGAGCCCTGGAGTTGGAGGCTGGGCCATAGAGAGACACATATAGAATACTACTGCACTCTAGCCAGCTAACAGCCAGACCCAGAACTTCTGTCTGCAAAAGAAAAAAAAAAAAAAAAAAAAAGAGTCTAGGCTCATCTTGTATCTTGTATCTTGTAACCTTTTGTACCATGTCCTGCCCTACCCCCGGAAATCAGCCCAAATTTATCTGAGGAAGATATAATAAAGAATCTACCATTATTTAGATTAGGGAAGGAATTAAGATAGATATAGAGACTAGAATTCTATGGAGGACTAGATGATATGCATATAAAATGAACAAGGAAGAAGAGTACAATAGAAGTAAAGCATGGTCATGGAAGATATAATTAGATCTATACTAGAAATGTTTTATGCATAAGATTTAATTCTTAATTGAAATACAATATTAATAAGATTTTATTAATTATGCAACTTATTTTTATACTTAGAATATCCCAGAAATAAATTTAGTAAAAAAGAAAATACAGATATATATTGAATACTAGCTTTCAAGGGAACCGATTTTAAAACTTCTAAGGGTTTTGGTTTGTTGGTTGTTAAAGGATACTAATTTTACATGACCAAGAATCTATCTTAATATAATTATATATTTGTTATTAATTTGTATATTATTTAAGAACTCCTATATCCTTTATTTTAAAAAGGCCCACAATGTAACAAAATTTTTGATCAGTACATGTATATAGTATAAAGACCTGGTGAAATAGGTCTATCTAAAATATTTTGTAAATACACAAAAAATGTAGCTCACTTGGTAATCATATAAAAAAGCAATAGACATAGTTTTGATAATATAATTATATTAATTAGCAACCCAAATACACATATAGAAATAGAGATTTTTGAGAAGGCATAGGAAGGGTAAGCTTTGATCGATGTTCATTTTGTTCCTCAATATAGCAAGGCCATTCTTTTTAATTTTTTTTTTTTTTATTGAGATGAAAGAGAAATAGAACATACTTACAAATTTTAGCATAACAAGAAAAATTCACCCTTTTAAAAGTAATACAATTTCGGGCTTGGGGGCTTGGGCGGTCAGGTTGGCTGCACGACCCTGTATCCTAGCACTCTGGGAAGGCCGAGGTGGGATAGTTTGAGCTCAGGAGTTCGAAACCAGCCTGAGCAAGAGTGAGACTCCATCTCTACTAAAAAACAGAAATTAATTGGCCAACTAAAAATATATAGAAAAAAAGTTAGCTGTGCATGGCAGCACATGCCTGTAGTCCCAGCTACTCAGGAGGATGAGACAGTAGGATTGCTTGAGCCTGGGAGTTTGAGGTTGCTGTGAGCGAGGCTGATGTCACGGCACTCTAGCCCAGGCAACAGAGTAAGAATCTGTCTCAAAAAAATAAAAAATAAAAATTAAAGTATCCAATTCATTAATTTATTGACAAAGTTGTGCAACCACCACCACTAATTCCAGAATATTTCCATCATGCGAAAAGGAAACTGTGTATTGATTAGTAGTTTCTCCTAACTCCTTCTCCCTCCAGCCCCTGACAACCACTAATCTCTTTTCTGTCTCTATGAATTTGCCTATTCTAGACATTTCACATAAATGGAATCATACGATATGTGGCCTTTTTTTCCGGCTTCTTTTATGTAACCTAAAGTTTTTAAATTTCATCCGTGTTGTAGCATGTTTCAGTACTATATTCCTTTTATTGCCTAATAATATTACATTGTGTGAATCTGCCACATTTTATTTATTCATCCATCAGCTAGCTGATGGACATTTGAGTCATTTCCACTTTTTGACTATTACGAACAACACTGCTGTAAACCTTCCTGTACAAGTTTTTATATGGATATTTTCAGTTTTGGGTGTTATATAACCAAGAGTAGGATTGCTGGGTCACATGGCAACTCTATAGTTTAACCATTTTACTTTTCAACCAATGAAAACAAAAAAAGAATGATTTGGTATATAGTTGAAAAATTCATTGATGACCCTATATTTATATTCCTGCATCATTGGCTTATGCTAACTAGGAAATTGCAATACCTAAATGTATGTTGTTATTTCTAAAGCAGTTTTCTTCTAGAATTGGTACTGATTCTGGTAGACCTTTCATTCTGGACCTATGACTATAAATAATACAAATATCTTGTACCTAGCAGTTTTTTTCCAGAACTCTCTAGCCCCCTCTATTCTAGAGGCCTTACATAGTCTAATTTAATCGGCTTAGTCTGAAATACAATGCCACCTTGGCATCCTATCTGCCTGGTATTTCTTAATCTCTTATAGAATGAACTGTGCAATTGTTTTGTGTGGTTAAAAGGAGTTTTAATAAAGGTTTTTGTTTTGTTTTGTTTTTTTATTCCAGACGGGTCTGATGTACTGGCCTTTTGTACAGGTGAGTTTCAAAATACTCAGAATATTAACTAATGGCTTTGGTTTCTATATAGCCCTAATGGACTCTCTCTGTTCCAGCTGACCAACTTCAGCCTTGTTCCTGTTCACTGGCGAACAGCTTACACGGGACTCTGTGGTTTTCTCTGGGCCACCTTCCTTTGCTTTTCCCAGCAGAGCGGTGATGGCACCTTGAAGTCAGCGTTCACCTTCCTTCGTAAAAAGGAGGCCAGTGAGGTTGAAAGGCCCTCAGAGAAATGAGAAGTCAAGGACTCCCTTTAGCGGCTAAATTTTTGTTCCAACACGCACTAGATTGCCTGCAGAGAAAATAGTTGACTTACCAGTTATGCGCTTCCTTTTGAAGAATTACTATTCTGTAGACCCACTTGTTTTCTAATTATCAATGATTGTTTTGAATCGTATTCAAACCTTTTTTTCCCTCCCGTTCTAGTCTGAAAGTCTTACTTCTCTAATATACTCACTTCTCTAATATTTTGGTTAATATCAATAACAGTGGCAAAAATGGCATTTTAGAGTTATTAATATTTCTATTCTAATATTTTAATTCTAGTTTCAGGAACCCCAGTTTTGACTGTTTACATCTCTATTCTAAAATCTCAGGTTATCTCCTAAACACTTTTGGGTCAGATTATCTTTTATAGCAAAAACAGTTCTTACAGTGAATTTCTATTTACATAAAATCCTATCAAGGAAAAGATTGAATAACCAGATTTCCCTTCTAAAATACTGTATGATAATTTATTGTTATGCTGATACTTAAATTCAAGTACATTTTTTACCATCAAAAAAATAGTGTTCTATATAGAATGTATTTTATCTACTTTTATAAATTCTAAGTACTTAGATATCATTAAAAATGTATGTATTTTAAGTACTTATAACGAATGTATTATACTTTTGAGCATATTCAGTTGACTAAAGCAACCCATTTCCTAGACATATGAAATAAACAAAATATTTGGCTTCTTAATGAAATATATTGAATTCCAGAGGAAGGAATAACTTAATCTATAAAGTGCCAAGGGAAATTATTGCCTCAAATTTCACACTGATGTGCTATTTTTGAAAATCAGTGTTTTAAAATAAATTTTTATACTTTAACCCTTTGCATTCGCTTGCTTTTTTCTCATCATCCACTTGACATTATGCACACCCAACATCCGAGTGCACAGGGTTAAGGTAGATATGAGAAAATTGATCGAATCTTCCAGATTTATTCAGTTTGTCTAAACTCAATACCAGCAGGTTTAAAAATTATGTGAATAGGGTGGTGGCTCACGCCCTGTAATCCTAGCTCTCTGGAGGCCGAGCGGCGCGGATTGCTCGAGTCAGGAGTTCGAAACCAGCCTGAGCAAGAGCGAGACCCGTCTCTACTAATAAATAGAAAGAAATTAATTGGCCAACTAATAATATATATATATATATAAAATTAGCCGGGCATGGTGGCGCATGCCTGTAGTCCCAGCTACTTGGAGCTGAGGCAGAAGGATTGCTTGAGCCAGGAGATTGAGGTTGCTGTGAGCTAGGCTGACGCATGGCACTCACTCTAGCCTAGGCAACAAAGCGAGTCTCTGTCTCAAAAATAAAAAATAAATAAATAAAAAACAAGTAGCAGTTAAATAAAAAGGAGCAAGAGCAAAGCTTGTACGGGAACACAAGGGTAAGTGTCAGATGTCCTGATGGCAACAGGGACAGAGTCCACACCGGGAAAGTATAATGGGAGAGTAATAAACATACTGTCAATTTCAGCTTATCTTTGTCGTGGCTCTTCATCATCTTCCTACACATTTGCATTAACAATTGCCTCCTCTAGCTTCATCTTAAAATTGATTATTGTATAAGCCTTTTAAAAAATATATAGTGAAAAGACTTTTATTTCTTCAGTAAAAGCATAATTGCTCCAAGCTGTTGAGAAATACTCAAATGTATATACTGTACTGCTCTTTATAATTCTCCCAGAGGAGAAAATAAACTACCTGCAATCATTAGGTCCATTCAAAAATCCACACATTATCTGCAGAAATTCTCTAAATACTTATTCCCACAAATTCATTATTGGCATAGCTGGAAATCTTGGTTCACTTTAGCACTATTTATAATCACAGAGCAAAAACAGTCTGCAAGAATTTGACAGATTATTATTTCTGCCTGGTAGGTTTATATACTATTGTTTAAAAGGCGAAAGATTGATACAATCTGAAGAGAAACCAGAGTAAATACTGTTTAGTGTATTAATTTTAATACTTCACGTCCTTTATTAAGTCCTCTAAATATTATCAAGCATTTTCGCTGGCATTCAATCTCATGCATAAACTGATATTCCCATTTTTCTTTCTCTTTTTTTTTTTTTTTTGAAGACAGAGTCTCACTTTGTTGCTCAGGCTAGAGTGAGTGCCATGGCATCAGCCTAGCTCACAGCAACCTCCAACCCCTGGGCTCAAGCAATCCTTCTGCCTCAGCCTCCTGAATAGCTGGGACTACAGGCTGTGCCACCATGCCCAGCTAATTTTTTCTATATATTTAGTTGGCCAATTAATTTCTTCTATATATTAATTAGAGACGGGTCTCGCTCTTGCTCAGGCTGGTTTCGAATCCTGACCTCGAGCAACTGCCTGCCTGCATCCCGGAGTGCTAGGATATAGGTGTGAGCCACGGGGCTCGGCTCCATTTTTCTTTAGTGGCAAAAAAAAAAATAAAATAGCCAAAATTGGCAAGAACCTTTACTGACAAACATTTCCCCTAGAACACTCTAATATTCAATCTAGAGATCTGCTATTGTAGAATCAAGTGAACAGGGAATAGTTGTGTTTTGGTTTAGTGGTTTCTGTTTCATTTTTCTAATCTACAACCCCTAGGCAGAAAACATCATATAGAATGAGCATGAAAATTCAGCAAACCTGAAACCTGAGTTCTACAGATAACTTTATTTCATTTATTCCATCCCTACTCAAATTATAAACTAAAAGCTAAGTGCTGTGACAATGAAGGAATCCTATCTCCTACACTCCAAATTAATTTCCTGACAACTACTTACTGTTCCCATTATATCCACAACAGTTCAGCTATAATATTGAACTGTTACAACAGCAGGACTAGATAACAACAGAAAGGGACATAAAATAAAGATGC